TCTGTTTGGCCCATTAAGAGGAAAATTGTTTGAAGAAAATATTTTGAGTGCTCTGCTCTGGTCTTTCTCCAAATATGTTAAGATTATTGAATTTTCTTCAGCGTCTTCAGTGTGTATCTCTTCAGTTCTAAGACTATAGAGTTTTTTATGACAAAGATCATTGCCATGTGTAGAGCACGTGGCGCTTTTCTTCCTCCTTTGTTAAGGAAGTTAAGTAGTTTTTTTTTGTTGTCAGAATTAGAAATGCGCTTGTCAATATCTTTTTCTGATATTCTTTTTGGATTTGATTGAGTTCTCTATTGTGATTAGGAAACTTATAGTTATTTATATTGATGCGAAACAGTTCAGTTGTATTATTCTGCGCAGTTGAAGAAGCAATTCTGAGATCATCAATTGAAGAACTGATGTTATCATCAGTTGAGAAAATATTTTGATCATTGTTTAATTATATAAATATTATTGCGGAGAAGAAGCTAATCAGTTTTTTTTTCGGAAGATATTCTGCTCTTTACTTTTGATGTTAGTGGTGACCTGCACAGGGTATTCGTTGCTATTTCTTTAACCCTTTCGCGCCGACTGTCACAAATACGTGACAGCATAAAACAGTATCAATCAGGGTAAAAATATAAAACTGGTAATCAAAGTATTTCTTTAGCAGTTTATTTGTGGGCGGAGTTATAATTGTTTGATTTATTTAATTAACCAATACTTTGTTCAAAATAAAACTATTTAGTTATACTTTGAATTAACGTTGATTATATATATGATTAAACTAACAATAGTTAAAGTAAAAGCGAAGTAAGTCTGTCAAATTAGCAACGACTACATTTAAGTTACCGCTTTTTATTTAATTACAACTTGATTCTGATTTTGTACGAATGCTTTTCTGAATCACCCGTCCCCAAGGGGTTAATAGTATCTATTGTGAAAGATGAAGAAAGGTTTGTAATCACGATGTCAGAGGTATAACGACCAGAAAAAGGAGCTGATTGTTGAGGAGCGTGAATGGTGAGTCTTACTTTTTTGGTAATTTTATGCAGTTGATTTTCGAGTTTGCTATTTTTCCTACCTTCCGCATAGCATTCTTAACGTTGAAGTCTCCAAAGCAAAATGCGTGAAAACAAAGGACCATCCTGAATAACTTTTGATCTAATAATAGGATTTTAACGTTCTAGAACCCAATCTCATTTGATCAAGGGGGTGACCTCAAATATGTAGTTAGAGCAGACAATATTTTACGGCATGAAATTAGACACAAAAGCGCACTTTCTCTAAATGAACAAACCGCTTTAGAACGAATTTCGGATTTCTGACCCAAAAAATATAGGTAGCCGCAATCTGTTAATTAAGCTCCCCTTAGGAGAGTTTTCCAAAGTTTGGACCCTTTAATGAGTTTTTTTATGCGTATTGCGCCATATCTAGAGAACTTTTTAAACGAATCAAAAATTTTTTTCACACGATTACAAAATTAGTTTATCCAATTACATGAAAAAGATAATAAATTTTAGTAAATCTTTATTATTTCATTAATTAATGGTCGAAAATACTTTGAATTGCAGAGTATACAACTTTTTACATTATTTTAAAGAATGTTATTTTACACAGCAAAATACTAAGTTAAATCGGAATCATGAATTTTTTCCCGTCCATTTTCACGCAGATGCCCCAGCAGAGTTGAAACGATAAAATTGTGTATCGCACATGGGACTGCCATCAATATTTTTCGTTTTTTTTCTTTCCATTATCATCGTCCATTGTGAAGATATTGTAACCAAACGATCACATCTTGATGATTCAATTGAATCTTATTTTAGAGAAGTAAGTATATTTCATAAATTTCTAACAAAAGAAATTATTTTCCTGATATAAATTGGAAGAGTGCATTTTAAAATAAAAATAAATGGCAAAGATTAGGATTTCTTTTCGACGACAAGAGAAATGTTGATTCGTATGAGATTGTAAAGTTATTGTTTTTCTGTACGTTATTGCAGCTGAATTTTAATTCTGAAAATAGCTGTACTTCCTAAATGTTTTTGGTGATAAATTTTTGTGCTCGATACAACAAGAAGTTTGTTCATAAAAGCGTTCATGTCTTATATATTTTCAAGTCGGATCTGACGCAGTTATAATCTAATGCATTAAGGTGCACCGACGAGGCGTCCCAGAATTATACCCTCTGTGGAAGAGAACTTGTTTCTTAGAAAGGAAGGTCAACAAGAGAAAAAAAAAGCATAAGTTAATATTAAGTTAATAGCTTTCTTAGGATAGTTCTTTTGCATCTTATATAAAGTTGCGATTTGGCATTAAAAGAGTTTAAGGCCCAGGCAGCACATTCGTCTTTTTTTTTAAATATTATTATTGATTGTGGGTGTTACAATTTCACGTCGTTTGACCTCTCTATTGGAAACTAAGAACTGGTATTTATCAGGATATAGTTTGGTCTTCCACTTAGAGCTGCGATGTCTTAAATTTTTTTCTCAAATAAATCAACTGCAAGGATGCGTTTGGTTGATTCCGTGATTATTGTGATGTTATTGGCACACAGAACAGTGTTGTTTAGGTTTTCATAACTGATGGGGAAATCAGCAGTAAATAAAGAGCAAATTCGTGGTCCAAGAGTATTACGTATGCTTTTTTAATGATTCTGTATGAGGAGAAAGTTATATTGATTTTCGTTCCAAATTATTGACTAGAGAGATATTCGTTTAAGATTTAAGGGACATTATTAGAAATGCTTATAAGATGTAATAGATAATGTATCCCTTTATACCACAATCCATCGAAAGCCTTAGCGACGTCGAGCATGAGCATAAGGATATAGCAATATCATACATCCAAGTCCCCATAGTCGCCTGCACCCACAATCATCTGTCCTCTGATCATCTGCCCGTTCAACTATCTGTTGTCTACGCACTCAGCAGTCTGAAAAACCGAAACAAAAAACAGACTGGAACTTGTATCAAAGCATCCTGACCATAAATAATAGTAATCTACCAGACCATAAATAATAGTAGTCAACCATACACGATCACCTCATGAAAAAACTACCAGAACAGTTCAGTGCCAGAACAAAATATTAAGAAAAATAACCCGCTCCAGATGGTTTATCCGAAATGCAAACATACACAGAGATCTAAAAAATCCCAATTCTTTCCGAACACATCTACAAGCTGAAGCAGATTTTTCCAACCATGCAGTAAATTGTGAAGCAGCGAATTTTAATCAGATTTTCACCTTCGAGAACTTCAAAAAAGACCAACAACTTAGACCAATAGCAGCACATTTTTCATCTGATGCATCTTACCATCATTATCAACATAAATGGTAGTGCACTGCCGTGGTTAACACACCCGCCTGAAGTCCTCCCGGTCCCCGGTTCGATCCCAACTGGGAATTCGCTTTTTCGAAATAACGTCCTAGGCATCCAGTTCATAATCTCAAAAAATCATCAGTGTATCCTCGATCAGTGTATCAGTGATGATTGCGAAAACCAACAGTCAAACATAGCTTAAAGCAAGAAGGAAACAACATCAACAAACTTATAAACTCTCAATATTGAACTCTAAAAAACTTTTAATATTTATTTTATAAACTATATAAACCATTTTTCAATAGATTGATTAATAGATTTAAAGTATTCTTATTGTTATCATAATTTCATACCTCAACTTTTAATTTATCAAGCAAAAGTGCTTGACCACTTTTGTATAGCTACCCCAATTCAATGCTTTTAAATTTCACGATGTATGGAATAAGGGTGCCCAGTTTTTCTAAATACAGCAAGCAAGCAGGATTTAGAGTTCGGTATTGCAAGCTGGGTACACAAGTAGGGGTCTTGCGAAACAGAACCCTTCTATCGGCCGATAGGTTCCTTCGGGTTAAATTACTAGCGAAGACTTGTGATGCCAATTACCTCATCGAAATAAGTAATTATTCAAACAGCGAGATGTTTTCTTGAAGCTAAAGCACAGTTGACTTCATTTTTTGTTAATCACTCCTACCTACAGTTCATCTTTGAAGCACGATGGCAGAGTGAAATTTTTTCTACACTTAATTTTGTACTCGTCCTCGCCGTATCCAATTTCATGCATGTTTCCATCACTTTATATAATAAATATATATATATATATATATATATATATATTACTAACCCAAATAATTTTAATATCAATGGACTTTGATTCAGTTTGTAATCATATAATTTACGGAGGTGGCCTTTTTGGCCAGGTACTCCGGTGCACCAAGTATTAATTTCCGCAGTTCCATCACTTTATGATGAATGGGAAAAGGACCATTATGGCCTCAGATGTCCAGTTCCAAAGCAAAGAAGACTTCAGAACCGATATTAATAATTCAAGGAACAAAACTTAAATTTGCATTAATTGCACTCATGAGTTAATGCAGCAGACAATATCTTAAGAAACATAATCAGTCATATAACCGCCTATTTTTTATTAAGTTTCTTTTCCGTCAAATTCGAATTCTGTTCAATTCCCATAGTATGTTAAGGAGAGCGATCGAAAGTTTAGTTCTTTTAATTTTACTTTTTGCGTCTTTCGATGAATTTTCAGACTCATCGAAAGACTTTATACACAGTTATAAAATTCGTTTACCCAAAGATTATGCTATGCAAAAAATATCTTTAAATAATTATTTATAATTATATTTGTGAAAACGTTTCAAAAAAGTTTGAATTTAAAGGAATATAATTTCATGAATCGTTTTAAGAAATGTAATTTAAAATAAATAAAAAAAATTGCTTCCTTTTACGTGACTTATGTTAAGATAGAATTGAAGTAGTTTAAATTTTAGAAACAACCATTTCGTAAAAAAAAATATTTAATATAGATTTTAATTTTGTTGCAACTTAACCTTTTTGACACAACAGGTAAAGCATTCGTACAAAATTCAAATAAAGTTGTAATTAAATAAAAAAAGCGGTAACTTAAATGTAGTCGTTGCTAATTTGACAGACTTACTTTACTTTGATTATTGTTAGTTTAATCATTTGCTTTACCTTTTGGCATTAACACATTATTTCCATATGCATGCAACACAAGTTTTGTATCAATCAGTTTACAATATTGTGACAATTTAAGATTGTTATACATTTTTAAAGGTAAAATGTATACCTGTGCACCTGTATCTAATTTAAAATTTACTGGTTTACCATGAACAGATACTGTTTTATACCAAGTATTTTCAGAACACAAATCATACATTTCATTAATATTTAATGAATCAATATACAAAGATTGGGTTTCATTATTATTATCAATAAATTCATGAACAGCATTATATTTGTTACGAAATTGCCTATTTATCAGCCTCAGAGACTGACACTGAGAGGCAAAATGGCCTTTTTTTCTACACACATTACACAATCTGTTGAAAGCTGGACATTCAAATTGTTTGTGCCATCGTCCACACTTCCTACATTTAAATGAATCACTTTCACTCGATGATGGCTTTTGATTTAGTTTCAAAGCATCAATTTGGCACTGAAGTGAGTCATCATGTCTATGAATCACCTTGAGCTGCTCTTTGCTCACTTCAGATGCCCTGACATATTCCGCAGCTTTTTGCAAAGTCAGTTGCTGTTCTCTTAATAGACGTTCTTGTAGCACTTTATCTCGAATCCCTACTACAACACGGTCTCTTATGAGAGATTCTTCCTGCGTCGAAAACTCACATGATGCAGCAAGCGTTTTCAGTTGAGTTAAATACACATCGAACGATTGGCCTTCTTGCTGCGAACATGAGAAAAATTTATAGCTCTCAAAGACAATATTCCGCCTAGGAACGCAATACTCTTGGAATTTAGCAACCACGTCAGTATATTTTTCAGACGACTCATCCCCCTCAAATGTAAAAGTAGTAAATACTTCAACACCTTCATTTCCAAGAAGATTGAGGAGAATGGCAATTTTCTTTCTATCCGGCTTCTCATCTTTTTCAGTAGCAAGCATATAGTTCTGAAACTTTTGGTACCACCTCTTCCAACTTTCTGCAACGTTACCAATTGAAAAACTTATTTCTTCTGGCGGCTTAAAACTTTCCACCTTTCGGTTTATTCTTCTCACACCATGTTATGTTCAATAAACACACAGTTTTAAATAAATATATAACTTTATTAATAGTCAAGAATAATTATATGAAACATGTTAAACCTCGTGGTTCCGTTCAACAACAACCGCTGACGTCACCCCTGGTCTGTTGCCATCCTCCTAAGGTGTATAATATAATCGATTACGATTATAGGACACACTCCTGACCAAACTATGGGGACCACATTTCCCAGTTTACGGCTACCCCCTATATTTTGAAGATTAAAAAGCCAAATATGTAAAAAAAAAAATAATATATATACACTGGTGTGCAAAACTTAAGCAACAAGTGGTTTTTCGGTCACAGCTCTCCAACAAAGTATAAGATAGCCATGAAATTGCAGTATAATATGCACGTAATTCAGTAGAAAGATTATTTGTATGCAAATTTTAGAAATAAAACGTCGTAGGTGATGTAAGTGTACGTAAACCTTGAGGGTCGGCACGCGCAGGTCAAAGCTGTGATAAAAGGATGAAGAGCACCGTAGTTAAAGACATTCGTTGCAAGTGATTTGTTTTGTGAAACATGTCTTCAAGAAATCGTTTAGACCACTTTACTCGAGGAAGAATGATTGGGAAGCTTGAGGAGGGGCGTAGTGTGACCAGTGTCGCCGAAGAGTTCGGGATCAACAAAATGATAAAAAAAAAGCGGTAAATAACTACGAAGTCAATTTTACTAATATTTGACTATTCTTACTTGCTTTTAAGGACGTGTAGCAGGTCATGACTACTAAAAGTGGTGAATTATATAAACCTACGAATTATTTAGAAATAATGGTGGATAAAAATCTACTAAATTGAATTTATTAAACCAAGAATCACAATTGATAAACTACCACTTGAAAATATATATTTGCTGTCCGGAGCAAGTTGGCATCTCTGCACTGTATGCCAATGACACCGTAGTTAGCATAAAATCAGTCACACTCTGAAATAACTAAAGTGCGTGGGGCACTTGATTTATTCCAGAGAAAGAAATTAAAGATATCGCAACATAGTGCTCTAAATGGAAGACCAACCTATATCCTGATAAATGGCAACTCTTAGGGCCGGGATAGCCTGGTCGGTAGAGCGCTGGGCCCATGTCCAAGAGGTGGTGGGTTCAATCCTTGCCGGCCGAAGACAGTAAATGGTTACCGATGCACGTTAAATCTGTCGAGTCTCAAAGTCCTCCATGTTCCCGTAACAAATCAATATCTCTTGAGATACTGAGTCAGAATTTTCCTTGTCTTGGATTAGTCAAAATTACAAGGCTACGGAGATGAACATTAGTAGTCGTAAACCCATGAAATTGGGTCGGCTGTTCAACGATGGTTATAAAATAAAATCGTAACTCTTAGATTTAAAAAAAAAAATTCTTTAGTTTACTACCACTGGGAAAAACATTTCGCAAACTCAAATGATGACACACCTAGCAGACACTTTTTGTAGAATGTTTCGAATGAAGAAGTTTTACACCGAATATCGCAACTTAAAAAAAAAAAAACTTTCCTAACTGTTTCAATGAAATTTTCTTTCTTTTTATTTAGTACCTACCAGACAAACGTATTGCAAGCAAGTACCTTCATCAAATACACCTCTGGCGTGGTCTAATAACCCGTAACACATATTGGAAAATTAAATTCTTTATTAAATATATTTTATTTTCTGTAACGGTAGTTTCTACTATCTGAACTACCTCATTTCTATTTCAACATTTGTGAAGTGAAAAGAAAACAGTAATTTTTTATTAGTTTAAAATTGCATTTCTTAAAATGACTTAATAATTCATATACCTTAGACGGCCTCAGTCCATTCTCCATTACTATACAAATTTTCAAGACATTGTTTTCTTTCCCCCCCCCCTTACAGGCTTTACATCTTCTCCATGATATGATGGTTTGGCGAAAGGACATTAAGTGGTTTATTTAAATAGAAATTTACAATATAAAATATGTTTACTTTCTCGTTAAGTTAGTAATTTATTATAACATTAATATTTAATAATTTTTTAATA